GGTGTCCGTCTCGTGCGTCTGAGGCGCGCGTGCCCGGGCGTGGAAGGCAGGGTCGGGCAGGCCCGCAAGGCGGGGCGGTGGGCGCGTGGCGGGGAGGGACGGGGGGAGGCCTCCCTGGCACACTCACGCACACGCCGGGGAGGCTTCCTGTCGCCCTCCCGAGCCTGGTACGCTGCTGAACTGTGCCAGACGTAGTGCCCCCCGCCTCTGGGAGCTGACAGACAGCCCCGTGTCGGCTTTGAGTCATGCATCTGAGTCACCTAGTCTGGCCTCCACTTCACTTTGCTTTACAACTTTGGATTCCCTTAACTGCTCTAGCAATGGATGGTTTTTTTTCATAGTGTCTTCACTGGACTTGTGAGCCGGGCAAGGCTCCGGGAAAGCTGAGCTTGGCGATCTCGCGTGTTTGCATTGTCTTAGAAGGTCACGATTTAAAAGTATCTTTACCCGAGTCTGATCCTAACCTTTAAATGAATCCCTACAAACCAGTTTCTGTCTCCCCTCTCCCCGGTGCGGTCTTGTTTCCTTCCTCTTTCTATGCGTTTGTAGTAAGCATCCCGTTTTAGGTACTGTTTCATCAGATAACGTTAGCGGCTACTGTTTTCCGTGCACCCTTTCTTTTGGGACTTTTTATTTGCCCAGGAGGTGTCAAAATATTCTTCAGTCAGCCACTTTTCAGATTGGCTCTGGCCTCATCATAGACCCACAAATACAGACTTGAACTATGTTTTGATGTTTAAGGGACAGCGAGCCCCCCTAATCCCTAATAGATAGTGTCTCCTGGTTCTACTATGGACAGAAAATCAAGCTTTTGTATAGTAGGGGTTGCCTATTACTTTGGTTATCTACTTCATGGAAAAGAATATATGTCCCTGTTGCACTTTCTTGAAGAAAAAAAAAGAAAGAAAAGAATGTATGACCTTTTAATAGGCTATGTCTGAACAAGTCTCATCCAGACCAGAAGAGTGCTGCAGAAGGAAAATGTTTCTTAACATTTCCTCAGAACTGTCATCCCAAGGATTTTCAGACATAGTGTAGTCTGTGACGGTAATGTTGGACCTATGCCATCGGAGACCTTGGAAAACCCTGTTAGTCATAAATCTAATCTAAACCCATCAGCTCCACCTACAATATTTTCCTTTTTCAATAAAGGTAAATCCTTCTATCTCACTTAAGAAGAGGACCTTGAAATTACTTTTACCTTTTATCACTCGCCCAGAATTGAATCGCCAAGAAAAAATTGTGCTAGTTATATCTATTAGTCTATTTTCAAATGTAAGGAAAAGAAGTTAATATTGCTCCAGCTTTGGAGGGTGCAGGAGCATGATGCTAACTAACATCTGCTTGGCTGTGGCTAGTCCCCCTTAGCAGATGATGTCACAGTAACAGAAGTATGTGCATGCAGAAGAGGTCACATCGACTGCAAGACTGAAAACCAAAGACAGAACAGGAGCTAAGCTTGTCTCTAGAATCACTTTTTTATGTGTGTGGGTGTGCCATGTAGGCCATGGCATACATGTGGAGGTCAGAGGACAACTTGCTGAACCCATTCTTTCCTACTTGTGGGTTCTAGGGATCGTTCTTTGGTTGCCAGACTTAATGCCCTAATTACCTGCCACCAGGCCCAACTTCTTAAAAGTTCAACGACTTCTCAAGTTTTTACTTTGAAGACCAAAACTACACATGAACTTGGATCACAGGTGAACTATGTTCAAACCACAGAATTGTACTTTCAAAATAGACATAGATCCTAACCTTCTCTACCTCCTTAGCTACTAGCCTCGTCTAACTCAATGTCCCCACCTGGTTTTCAGGTAGTCTCCTAAGTGATACTTCTTTCATCCATGCTTGCTTCCCCCTGTCTTCTCAGTGGACCATTCCTCATCATCCTCTAAGACTCCAGTGGTTTTCCCATTTGATTATGAGAACTTAGCATTGGGCTTACTGCCAAATTCTTCTTACCTGTTTCTAACCAATCCTCTTTTCCTTTACGTGAAGCTCTAGCACACTGCCCTCCTTGAAGCTCCCAGGCCACATTAAAGCACTTTCCACTCCAATCCTGTGCCCTTTCCATGACCTGCCATGCTCTCCCCTTATGCACATAGGAAGGAAGACTCCTTTAAAGTCTTTAGGTAAATGCTATACCCTGGCCTTTTCTGGCCACCCTTCACTAGAGTGACTTCCATGCCTCTTTCTTCTTACATCCTTTGTTCTTCTCAAGGCATCACAATCTGATGCACCATGGATGACACTCAGTGTGTTGTTTACGGTCTGACTGTTCTCTTTATAATGACTGTTGGAAATAAGGAGTTTCATCTCTTTATTCATTCTTCAAGCCTCAGTTCCTGGAACATTGCCTGATACTTAGTATTTACAGGGGGATGGAGGAGAGATAGTGAGTCTCTCTTATTAGGACAGAGTAGAGACAATTTTAAACGATGGAAAGATGATGAAATGAAACGGGGAAGGGAAGAAAACCATTTTGAGTTAGACCAGTAAATGAAACTATACTTTTAAGAGTTTTCCTACTCTCTTAGCCCCACAAGAAAGGAAAATGCTTTTAATGGAAAATAAAGAAATAGATATTTTCATGGGTGGCTCTGGGAATTGGGCATATTTGTCACTATGTGTTAATCATAAACTCTTCGTAGTTTATGCTACAAGTATACTAACCCATTTATTAAGCTACCTATATTACAGCACTTCTGATGATGAAAGAAAATACTGGGAACCTCCTACGTGTCAGAATTATTTTTTCTGTATTTGTATGTCTGAATGTGGACTTGTGAATAGAGATCAAAGGACAATTGTCAGTGATCACCTGTCTTGTAGTTTGACAGGGTCCCTTTGTTGTTTTTCCCCTGCATACTCCAAGTAAGCTGACCTGTGAGCATCCAGGGATTCTCTTGTCTCTGCCTCCCATTTCCCCATAAGAGCACTGGGATTACAGATAGTTGAAGTAAGAGTCTGGTTTTAACATAGAGATTGGGGTTTGGAGCTTGAGTCCTCATAAAGCAACAGTTTTTACTCACTGAGCCTTCTCAGTCCAGTGTTTTATTGTGTTTTAAATCATGAAAAAAATGACAGAATGTAATGGTCTGTATTTGTTTATAAGTAAAAATGACTCTTTAGGTACTTAGGTTGAAGGATCTCATAGTTCCAATAACAAACTGGTGTGTGTGTGTGTGTGTGTGTGTGTGTGTGTGTGTGTGTGTGTATTTGCCTGTACTGTCTAAAATTTTTCTGGAAACAATGCAATAGTGTGTTTCTGCTAGTAAGCAAAAACTAGTTTTTATATATTTATGTGGAAGAATCACATAATTTCAACAAAAGCAAACAGTTATACATAAATGTACACAAGTAGCTTATTTATACCTAAAATGACTCTGGCTTTCCTCAAAGTAGGCTCTCTTAGATCTTTGAATTTGGACCATGGGCATGTATTTCCTACTTAAAATATAAAACAAAGGAAAATAAAAGAAAATGTAGTAAGTGTTCAATAAGCAAAAAACAAAAACAAAACCCTGTTCTTTACCAGATTTGGTTTTGTTTTTGTTCACTTCATCGGAATCATTTTCTAATAAAAGTTATGCACGTGTTCTGCCATCTCAGTGGCATTAAAATGGAAAAACTAACTCATGATCCACTTGGTGTAGTACCATTGAGCTCAAATATCACCTTTGATGTTTTACAAAAATGGCTAACACAGAGAGACTCCAGGGTCCTCCTGGCTAGCAGACTGCACTGACTGACCAATGCTGGACACCAAGCCTAGGTAACAGGATTGGAACAGGGTAGAAGAGTTAACCCTTGGCTGATTAATGCAGGAAACCTCTGCAGAGATGATCTTTAGTTGCCTTTTGCCTTTTGGAAGACAGTAAGAGGGGGCAGGTGTACACCAGGACAGGAAACAGCAAGTTCTGAGGTGTGAAGAGACTTACATTCAGGAGAACTCAAGTTGGAGGACCAATATATATAGAAGAAATGCTCAGAATCCGCACAGGGTCACAAGCAGGCATGTAGGATAACCTCAGTCCTTATATATGAGTTGCATCAGACACTCTTGTACATCCATGTTAATGTTGCATTATTCAAAACAGCAGGAAAATAGAACCTGCCTAGATGCCCACCAGTAGATGAATGGATAATGAAATTGTGGCCCATATACACAATGTAATTTATTCAGTGGTAAAGAAAAATATAATCATTAAATATGTAGGAAAATGAATGGGTCTGGAAAACAGATTAAGTAAGGTAACCCAAACTCAGAAAGACAAATATTGAATTTCTCATATGTGGTTCCTAACTTATATTTATACATATGCATGTAAGTGGGTGTAAGTGTCGACATACAACATGAAACTGGAAAGGAAACCAAGAGATGACAAGAGGAAACGTTGAGGAATCAAAGAAGGAGCAGGCAATAAGAGAACCATGACACAAAAGTGGAAGGTCATTGAGAAGTGCAAGGTCATGGGAAAGGGAGGACAGAGAAGGGAGGAAAAAATAGCAAAAAATAAACTTTGTTTGAAAACAACATAATAAAACACAATATTGTCTATGCCAAAGTTAAAATGTTTCTATTGTAAAGGTGTGGGAAGGGGGCTGGAGAGATGTCTCAGGGTTTAAGAGCATTCTTCAGAGGACCTGAGTTTCATTCCC